TAGCAAAACGATCGTCCTGTATGTATGATGATAATAATATTATATTCTACGATACAGACAGCGGTATATTATAATAATAATGTTCTCGTGTAACGGTTTACCACCTACCATATACCTACATGCAGACTGCAGGCAATAATAAATAATAATTCAATGTATCGTGTGCACACACTATATATATATATGTGTAACGCGTATCTTGATGGCAGTCGAGGGAGTTTTCGGGGGCGACGATTAATCATTTGTCGACGATAAAACTCTGGGTATACATGTATACACACACTCGGCGATTACAACCTACACACCTCCATAATCTCGACCTGGCGAAACCGCATTAAAAACGACGATAACAGCCCGGGCTTCTAGGCACGAACACGACTGCGACAGCGCAAAAATAATAATAACGCCGTCCTCGCGGGATTACGCACATAATAATAATATATGCATAGCGTTATAAATTATGTACAGACGATGTGGGTTTCGGCAAACGATATAAATTATAATAATATATAAGACCCATATCATACAAATTGTATGAGCACTCGCTCCTCGCGCTGCAGTAGACATCACGATGCACACTTTACCGTTTTATTCGGTATATGGCGAGTGCACCTATATTTGATAATACATAATATACGCAGGTATATCATTATAGTAATAATAATCTATTGTACGGGTGTACCGACCTTGACATTGTGGTTGTCTTTGGCGGACGTCTCGAAGAATTCGATGTTCAGCTCGTCGGCCAGCGTTTTGCCCCGCTCGTACGATATCACACGTTCGTGTTCCATGTCGCACTTGTTGCCCACCAGTATCACCTGCGCGTTGTCCCAAGAGTAGGTCTTGATCTGTGTTACCCTGCGAAAGACGCACGCAAACAAGAGTGGTGAGTACGAAACCATTCACGTATGACTGTTGGATTTAGCACCGACTACTAAGGTGATCTATAATATTATTATATTGCACCATAGTAGGTCACATTTTATATATATATATATACGTGATAAGAAAAAGATGTACAGAGTGGTCCAAAGGTCGTGTTACGAAATCTGAACTCACCACGTAGCCCCCACATTCCTCCGCCCAACGACCACCCCTTACGACGAAATTAGGACTACCCTGCGGGGCACACAGTACCTACACGATCGTATATAATATATATGGGAAAAAAATATATAAAAAAGCTCACCAGTCCTGCACACTGTTGAACGACTCCTCGTTGGTGATGTCGTACATGAGAATGAACCCCATGGCGCCCCTGTAATACGCCGTCGTGATGGTCCTGTAACGTTCCTGGCCCGCCGTGTCCTGTAGGAGGAGGAGATGATATTATGATATAATATATTATCATGACATTTATGTGGTATTTTAAAGCGGAGGGGATACGGGATCACCGGACGTTTGGACGACTGACGACTATATTATACTATAAGTAGGTACCGGGTACTTACTATAGGATTGTGGTATTATACGATCGGACTCACCCATATTTGAAGTTTGACCCGTTTGTCGTGCCTGAACACGGTTTTTACTTTGAAATCGATGCCCACCGTGGACACGAAGGCCGACGTGAAACTGTCGTCGGCGTAACGAAACAGGAACGAAGTCTTACCGACGCTACTGTTGCCGATGATGAGCAACTTGAACATGTAATCGAAGTTCTGGTCGGACCCTTCCTTCTGCCATTTACCGTCTTGGCCAGCCATCTTTGCAGCTGTGTGCCCGACAAACGACGGTCGTTGCTGCTGCAAAACAAACGGGCGTTGGACATGATATTATAATATGGGCACGAAGAAAACCACTACGTTGCCGCGGTACAGCGGCCGCATAGGAACCTCTCTATTGCGGACACAGAGGGTATGATATAAAAACCAATGCATCGCGCACTACTGCCTGCGGTTCGGTTATAATTATAATATTATGTTGTGCGGTGTGACTTACCTCGTGCGAAACTCGGCGGCGACTATATTATAATACTGTTGGACGAGGGGTGGGGGGAGTGCTCGTACCGCCTCCCACAGTGCACGCAAACTTGGATAAGTTCCTACACGAGTTCAGACGCTTGTCATCGGCTGCGTCCGTGTACGTGCAGGAGATACGTTCCGGAAATATGCGCACACACTCGCGCACTCGACACACACACACACACACACACTACACGTACACACTCGAGCGCGGGCGAAGGTATACACACGGCGAGCGAAAAGGATCAAAAGCCCAATCGATATGCGCTACGGCGGCGGCGGCGGCGAGACGACGGGGCGCCACCTGGTGTCGTGGCGGGTTTACCGGGTCCTCACGAAACGCGCGCGCTGTGTTTTCAATTAATAATAATGTATATTATTATAATATTGTAACGATTATAACAGTTTTCGCGCGCGTATTTGAAAACGTGTGCGCCTCCTGCACGGTGTTGGAGATGGCTCGGGGTCCGGCCGCTGAGACGACCCGCGTGTATTGTCCGGGTAACGTAGTGGTCGGCGACGAGCCGTTCGGACGGGCAGAGATTTAGCGCGGCGTGCGAGCGACCTGCGGCGCGCGAGAACGTCGCGGGCGAAAAAATTAAACTGAAAACGAGGAGGAAAAATGCCCGAAAGAAAAACGACGGTAGAGCCTATATTGATTTTCGGCGCGGCGAGGACTCGCGCGCGCACACGCGACACCGCCCGACGACTAGCGCTACGCCGCCGCCGCCGCCATCACCGCCGGGCGGTGGTGCCCTCTTCGAGCGGAAACGCGGGCGCGTGTCCTCGGCTATAATAATAATATATTATCATCGTTTCCGCTCACGCGCTAACCTGTTGATGGCCGGCATATCACGCTGGTCGCCGATCCTGCAGTTTTCAGTGCCATCGTCATAATATTGTAAGCAAGACGGATTTATCACACCTAAGTTATTATGATTAGTATAACGTTATTATTATTATTGTTATCACTATCGTCGGGTTATCATATTAATAATATTATGACGTCAACGCGGCATCCTCTCTTCGCACCGCTTCTGGACACTACGTCCCAGGTGGACGATACCTGATGATGATATAAAGACAACTCACGTTATAAATGTACTTTCACACGCTGCCAGACATAATGATAATATTATCTCCGAGAGAGTTTTGTTTTTATCGATTGCCGTCAAAATATGATTAGGTATGACGATGATAATATTGTTGTTACCTGGTCTGCAAGAGGAGGACGTTACCGAGAACGCCGCAGGTTTCCGAAAGCTGTGTAAATATACGAATGTTATATTATTATTTTTACTATAGGTAAATACGATGAGGGTCCATCGACCATACACACGTAGTCGATTTATTTTTTCGTTTTCGATTTTTTTTTTTTTTATTATAATATTTACTCTGAACCGCAGCTGTTCCCCTCAAGGTCGTCGCAGTCAGTACACGCTTATAATATATTTTATGAACTATACAAGCTATGACATTATATTATATCGTTCGTCGTGCTGTGTGTGGCGGCGAAATTATTCGGTTACCCGGACGATCGCGAGCAAAGGAAACTAATGTACCTAAAATAATATAATACACGTACTTGAAGAAATAACTAGGTTTTTAATTGACTTTAATTAAATCTTAAATAAATCAACCAAATGACAATGTATATATAACAATATGATGTACACACACACACATATATATATATATATAAATAATATGATTTACCGTATTCGATATCCTTACAATATAAAATTATTACGATAAAAGTTAATACGCACACATTACTTCTTAGTTCTTAGGTTTCAGGACGGTTTCGACAGAGTACACCGACCACGTGCTAATAAACAACGAACCTCAACCGGCTCAACCTCATAATCAACGGCCAAAAACCAAAACAATATTATGCACTTTGCACACGTCATACTTACTTATATATATATATTTAATGTATTATGAACATATTATTTGATTACGAGTAACGAAAAAACGTAGAAAACAGACGAAATATTTTTTTTTAAGAATCAACATGAAACAGCTATATATAATAACGACCCTATGTCTAGTAGTAATATTATTACTTATATTATTAAATATATATAAATATATTATTTACATGAACAGATAATATATAATATAATATTTTACGATAACATTACAGTATATAATATAGTTATTTATATCTGAGCATAAAATATAGTATAGTAATAATAATAGTATTATAATATAAACACGATTTAAAATAATATTTTATTATTTAGGTAGTATAATCATAGACGCAAATAGGGAGAGGGTGCTTTAGGGGATAAGCTCCCCCAAACATTTCGTATATTTTGTTTTAAGCTTATTCAATATTATCAAAGTAAGGCTTTAGCCTGCCCCCCCCCCCCAAATCAAAAACGCTATTTGCGCCTATGAGTATAATATATACGACTACATTTTATGGAATAACGGTTTCGATACGCCCACAACAATAGGTGTTATTATAACGACAATAACGCGTTGTCACCGAAACGGAGACGTCCCTTTATCTCGCTGCTCGTCGTCCCGAACCAGAGCAACAGCATCGCAGCAGCAGCACTTAACCTACGCACTTGAGCACCGATTTACCTAATAATCCTATACTACACGACGACAACGAGCTCGTCGCGCGTACATCCGGCCGGACAGTCTTCATTTACCATAATATTATTATTAATTAATTAATATTTAAATGTACAATACAATAATATTATTACACTATCAATAGTAATAATTACATTATAATATTATTATCGGAGGAAACAGACAAACGTAGAGAGAAACAAAAATATGTAATAACAAAAACAATGAGCGCATTTTTTTTTTCTTCGTTCATCACGATACCGTCACGACGATATATTATTTTATAACGTATCTTATCATAACAATCATTAGACGCTACGGCTGGCCCGACGGCGACGGCGTTTACGCGAACTGCGACGGGACCGCGACGTCTTCGGCGTCGTAGTCGTCGTCGTCGCCGTCGTCGCAGCCCGCGCCGGCGGCCGCGGCGCCGTCGACTTGCAATCAAGTCGGGTCCTTGTCCTTGAGCGCTTGGATTATGCAGTGCTTGATCTCGTCCTCTGACATCTTGCTCAGCGCCTCCAGCTCCTGTCTTGGGAGCTTGCCTCAGCCACCGGAACACCTCCACGGTCTTGCGGTTCTTGGTCGGCCGGTGCCCGTCGCTGGACCGGCGAGCCCTCTTCACCTCAACGATCCGCGGCAGCGTGGCCGGCGGCTCGTCGTCCGACTTGCGCCGGGTGGTCGGCTGCTGTTCGCCGTTGATCATCACCCGGGGCGGTCCCTGCGAGTAGCTCGACTTCCGCGATTGTACGCCCTGCAAGTCGGGTCGAGACGACGACGTGTCCGACGAAAAACTCGACCTGAAACACAACGTCGTGACAGAATTTTACATCGCGTGCCATCACACACCGAGCTGTTCGCGTTATTTAACTGGCCACGCTGATTACCTCAGTCAACCATTTACCGTGTAATAATTATACACCTGGAAATCGGTACTTATTTATAATATTATAACATTGTATAGTAAATATTTACAACAAACAAAAAAAGGCAGGTACTTATCGTTTATCGCAACAACCAGACACGTAGTCAGCATTTTTTAAAGGGTTGTGTTTTTAATTTAATATTTTTATTCGACTTTGTGGTGGGGGGGGGGGTTAACACACAAAACACCACTCCCCCGACTACGCGACTGACAACAACCTATGCGAATCTCCGGTTAACTCAATTATGTTATTGCGACTACAAGCTATTCAGCAGTAGTATCAACTACCCTATATTATTTTATGACAATTTTGTAATCTTCGAGGGGAAATAATGTGAGGTCTGCCTATCAAAACTTAAAAGGCATATGCCAAAACACCGATTCCTTACTATAGTTCTTGCAACACCTAAGCGGAGGTTTTTCACTTTTTTTTTAATAGGATTTACATTACATTTTTGAAATATGAGTTTCGTTAGTATAAATTGGATTCTTGTCTTGTAAATTACAAAATATTGTCCTTAAATAATATAAAGTAGTGCAACCTGTGGTGGGCTCAATAATAGAATTTAGTTTACCGGTAAATCACATAGGTAATCGCGCTTATCGACAAGTACTAAAACTACATACATTTTAAACTCGGCTTTAAGTGGATTTATGCTGACGGGTTTTTATAATTATTAAAAAAAAAGTGAAAAACCCGAATGTTTCATATAGGCATGCCCCAACTCTTGGTTCCATGAGGGGCACATTAAAAATTAGGGCCTACAAGAATTTTGAAAACCAATATGTAGGTACAGGTAATTTTTTACAATTTTAACAATTCTTACAGTAAAAATTGATCAAAAACTATATCTACAAAAATAAGTGTATGTATAGGTTAAGTTATGTGGAAAACAATAAAAAATTAACTTTACAAATAACTTGTAACTAACAACTTTTCGAGATATAATTAAAATTTTTTGCGATTTTAACAGCTGGTCTTTTATGGTATAAAAACGAAGTTTTTGTTGGTTCGTTTGATTGGCAATTTGTATTAACGCTGATTTATCATTAGCTTTCCGCTATTCGGTTTTTATATCCGTAGAACTAATTTTAAGTAAAGCTTAAAAACGAAATACTTTAGTTGGTAAAATTGTTCACATACGAAAAAATATCGAAAACTAACCAATCCGTTAGGTTCTTTTTAATAGTTGGGGCCTTGGGTATGAAATGTACCCCAGCACCAACTGTGTGCAAGCCTATGAAAAGTATGAACCATAATTAACTCACAGAAAGTTAAGTACATTCTAAAACCCAATAATTTTGATATAAAATTGAAATATAGGTATTGTCATAAAAAAAAAAAATTAGAAAAATATCTAAAAAACATTGTGGTGAGATTGTGTTGTTGTAAACTAATCTATAGTATTATATCAATTACAAGTTGTTAACAATATAAACTATATGTAAAAATATTTTTTCCAAAAACACAAGGTATTATATCGTAAACATGGCCAGTTATACACGGATCGCTCCTTTTGAAAATATTTTATAAACGCGTTGTAGGTACCTAAAAAATACGCCGGGAGATAGGAGGTTGGGGCTGCGTGGCAGATCGTTTTCCACGTACAAGTTGTTGTTGCTGAGTTTCGCACCGATCAGTTCGGAAGCGGAAAATATGCTCATCCTGCTGGAGTCTGCCGGGCTGGGGTTTCCCGACGACCGTCTGATCAGTTGTTTTCTGGTGTTGAAGTCCGGCGGGCTGTTGGACGCCCCTTGGCTAAGTCGTCGGCCCACGGTCTCCGAATAACTGGCCACGTCAGTGCTGTACCGGCGGATGCTCAAGTTCCCAGAGCTTCGCGACCTCTGCTTGCTGTAACGTCTGCCGAGGCTCAACCTGAAAACCGTTTCGGTCATTACTATAAATAAACAGCTGGCATGTCAGCGAATTCGAGTATTTTTCGCATCACTGCACATGTATAGATATATAAAACTGCTATTTGTATACTTATAATATATCTATGTGTGTCACTGACTTGGGATAAACGATAATTTACACCCCTAAAGTCATCGGGGTATTGATAAAGAACTCGTTTATTTCATGTCTGGGGCACAATATTATATGTTTATTTAGCCATGGTTTTAATCGTCAGCGACCGTTCAAGTGCATAACATATTTTAATATGAAGACGCAAAGCGGGATGACCATCGCTATACGTTGCAGCGTGTTATCATTACCTGGCTGGTGACAAAAATTTCGCCGTTGTACGTTTCGGAGACAGTCCGGCGGTCGGAGAGTTCGACAGTGTCAATCTGACGTTTTGTTTTTTATTGTCCCTCTCTTCCCTTTGTATTCTGAAAGTTAATAAACACAAACGGGCAAATAACACACATTTAATAACAAAACAACAATAACAATAACCTATTTCACACAGTAACAATATAACAGTAATAATAATAACGATATTGCGTCGGACAATACAATTTATCAAAACAAACAAACCTTCGGATCTCTTCGATAACTTCGAAAAATTGACCTTTCCGTTTTCTACGCTCAAACTCTTTCTGTAACAATAGAACAGTTGAACGATATAACTTTCCGTCATGGACTTTTCTTAAACATATAAATATCTAACCTGTGCGTGTTGAGGATGCATAAAAGGCAAACTCACTCGCCGTACGCTTTTTTGAAACAGCGATGCGATTTGCCCTTGTCTTAGCGTGTGCACTAGTTCTTTGGCCGTGTGTTGTGGCGATATTAATTCTACGCTATTTATAAACTTGTAGAGTTTCTGGAAGAAAAAATAAATATGATACTCGTAGTTATTATAGATGACACTTATGGCCGTATGCATGTTGAACTATGCCTTATGTGACACATAAATTGACTATATGCATATGAACTTAAGTCTTATCTGTCAGTATTAAATTTACAGTGGGTAGTTACTAGTTAGTTATAATTTTTGTAAAAACAATAATTATTGTATAGGCAATACGGCGTGCGTCATAAAAAGCGGATGGATTTGGACCAGATGTGAATCTTAATGGTGGCCGAAGTAATGGCTTGAGACCGTTGTGTTAGTAGACCAAAACAGTTTCAATTAGTCACCCCATGTCTTCATCTAAGACCACGATTTAAGATACACAGGTTACTCAACGACCTTATGCACATTATACGTAACAAAAATGGTGAGTGAAAAATCTGGTTTTATAAACAGCTGATCAACGATAGAATAAAAGCTACTAACTTTCCAATCGTTGTTAACATCAACCAACAACCTCTAATATTATATATATATTGATATATTTTGTAGTACCAAGAGAAATCATTACAATGCAAATGCGCTAACCCTTTTCGGGCACCAAAAAATAAGTTTAGCTGAGTAACTTGTAAATATTTAATCATGTCTAAGACACTAATTGCGTTCGCAGTAGAAACATTTTTCACAAACCAGCAATCGCAATGAGCAATCAGTCAAAGTGATATTTCACGTGAGATGAAACGATGACTGGTGTTCAAAACTAAAGAATTTGTGAATATATCTATGGAGATGGTCACCATATAATACATGGATAATTTTGTGTTCCATGCGCATTAATTGTATTTTTTACAGATTTTTGAAAACACAATAACTATTTAATTCGATCAATTTGTTTATTTTCGATTTTTAAAATCCATCAGCTTTTTTATGGCGCACCCTGTATACCGGTGGGGTAAGCGATGTCGTTCGACGTACTTGACTGACAAACATCATATTTTGGTTTCTCCATATCGAGTCAGGAGGCTTCTGCCGAAGTTTGGGCAACGCGTAGTGATAGAAGGCGTGTTCTAAACAAAGGATAACGGCGCCCGCCAGTATTCCACAGCCCAGCATGAGGAAAACGCCTAAAAATGCGTCGACGCCCAACGGTGTAGGCTGCCCAATGTCCGATGTTTCGAGTTCGCGGTTGACGCAAGGTAAATCACTGAACCATTTGTTCTGTAGGATATCCATGAAGCCGTTGTTGATATACGTCGAAACAGCTGCAGACACCTTTTCCTGTTACACACGAAATCAGTTATTGTAAAATGTACGAGTTCACGCCCCACCCCCCAAGATTGATGACCTTTTTTTTTTAGATACGTATAATATTTATAAATCGATATATAACATATACGTCATAACATACTTTATATATTGGTTATTGGTTTAATATGTATATAACTTCAATGAAGTTTTTTTAATATTAAATTAATTTATTTGCGTGAGAAAAAAATAAAAAAATAAGATAAAAATTCTATTACAGTTTAAAATCAAAATTAACTAGGTATTATTAATAAATTATATAAAATTAATTAGATGGTTGGAGCTAGTGTATTTTCATAAATGTTTGTATGTTTGGCGACATCTGTGATAATGCGCATCTCAGATCACTATCAAGTGGCGGTTTTTCATCGTAAAAGTACTTTTATTGATACCCAGAAGACTAAAGAGCATAAATATATGATTTGTACTATCTTATATAGGTAATCGTAATAATCGCTTGGTATACATCTACTGGTCGATCGCGACGGTGACCTTGGTACCTCGACAACACACTGGCAAGGCACGGCGTAGAAAACGGCAAAGTTTTCATTTATCATGTTTTTTTTTAACATGTTCACGCCCCCCTGAAGTGTTGTCAAGCCCCCTTAGGGGGGGCGATCCCCCTAGGTTGAGAATCCCGGTTGTAAATGATAATTGTAATAATAACAATAACACTCGAACAAACCTTTAAGACAAAATTTTTGGTCATTCCCACTGCGTAAACGTCGTCGTAAAGTGGATCTCCGTACGGTTGGAGTTTGCAATCGTGATCGGTTCCACTATAATAGTCCAAAATGGGCTTGTCGCCGATAAATATGTCCAAACTACCATTTCTAAAATGTAAAACAAAATCAAATAAGTTAAGAACACTTTTAATTATATTCATAACATTTTGACACAATACAAAATCAAAATGATATATATTTTTAAATCACAAACTACTAAGTAAAGTTAAGATAGGCAGTTAAAATTATATCAACATAATGAGACAGAATTTCCGGTAGATTTAAAGTGTTAATAATTGTATACGTTAACTTAAAAAAGTTAAATTTAGTCTATTAATCTGAATAATGTTGTTTTTTAATCTTAAAATCTTTTTGTATCTTTTCCCGTCAAATCAATTAACCTCTTAGACTAAAAGCTTATTTTCATCACGTGAAAAAAAAACTTCGCTCCGTTGATTTTTTTTTTAAATAAAAACGAAATGTTTTATTAAAGATTCTAAAAAAGTCTTAAAAATATTAACGTGTAATAATGTACTAGACTCTCGCATCCCATTTCTCCGCCCAAAACATTCACAAGATAATGAATGCGTATCTAGCCTAAAAATCCTTGTATTTTAGACCTTTATATATATGTGACTATTCAGACATATGGGGCACATTTAAACCATCTAACACTAGAAACCATCCAAGCATTCCAGTATATTTGTCTTAGTCAAATAACGACATCCTTCTGGTACACGTATATCTTACGAAAACCATCACAAAGACATCAACGTTGTCACTTAACTATAACTCAAAATTATATTCCTAACTTGATCCTCGTTATCTAATCCATGTTCATTAATCCTTCCTGACAGCCAGACATGTAAATTAAATCGTATATAACCAAGATCTTATTGAGATCCATGAATAACATTTTCCAACCGGGTGTCTGGTGACACTCACCACTGTAACTTATTTCACTAAATTATTTTTGCAACACAAATTCAAGTTGTTTTGAAAATACTTGCATACTATTGCATAGTTTTAAATTATGACTTAATTCTTATTATATCTTGCGGGATCAATTTTTTTTTTTACTATTGTAAATAATTACTTTACCTTAACATTCGCATGCCCGACGCAGTGTCGGGAACAGAATATTTTTGAACGTGTTGCCATAGAGCAGGATTCTTGTCTTTTAAATAAACCTCCGCAGATGAAGATTTAGCCGATCCGACTTTCATCAAGAACATCTGAAAATTAAATATAACGTACAAGTCGTACAATGTTCATTTTATCAACTATATATAGTAGTATTATAATATAGTCGTACGACAGTGTTTGAGTCAATTGTGTATTTACATTTCGATCGTTGTAATCCACATCGGCGTTTTGAAATAGAAGTGAAGCAATTAGAGCTGCGATGTTGGCAGTGTAACTAGCCACGAATATAACGCAAAATCCGCCCCAGACGTTAATTAAAAATTTGTTTGGCCACGATTTTGGTGCTTTAAAGTTGACGAGAGCGCCGCAGAGCAGTCCCCACATCGCCCACAACGCCGAAGGCATACTGCGAATACGAATAACAGTTATTGTTCGACGCTATGAAACCGTCCAAAAACAATTAATATATTTACCCGAAATTCTTGGATCTTTGCCTGCCGGAGGGATTTAACCCGAACGGACTGAACCATTCGTACAACGCCACTGCCACTGTCGTCACGTGAAGTGACACGAATATAGCGATCCACAGGTTCGGGCTCAGTGGCAACAAAAACGCAAGCAGTGGCACGTTGGTCTTTCTCTTCGGGGCGACCATCAGGGAGACGCCACTGTAGAAATAAGGTGTAGAAAAGTCTACCCACTTCGATCTAAAAAAAATCAAATTAAATCCCGTCGGGTTAATGACTGTCCGATGGCGTCTTATAATTTCACGCGAACCTCGTAGACGTGACGCTCAGAGGACAGAAGGCCATGTGTGCTGTACCGGACACAAGTTCACCGACCACTCCATTCCAATGGAGCTTCCGGGATCCGAACGTGCCGTCAGCGACCAAGTACAGGTGAAAATCAAATTCCAAGTCTTTCGACATCTTTTCCAGTAGGTCTATGGACAACCCAAAACAGCAATACGTCTCCGGCAGCGACCTGCGATATATAAAAATGGACAATGAGTTATTATAACATACTAAACGCTTATAATAAGTAATAATTAGTTAATAGGTTTGTAGGGGAGACCGAGGCTAGGTGTGCGTGTGTGACACAACCAACCATTGATAGTCACAATGCCAGAAACTTTGAAATCAGATGGTAATAATTATGTTCGTTATAAATCATTTTAATCTTGGCTATTTGGGCTGATTGTAGGCGGATGACGAATTTTAAAACGAAAAGTGAACTTTAAGTCTACGTGTAGGTAATTTATTTCCGTGTATAAATTTTATGTTTGTCATTTATATTATATTATTATAACTAACGTTGTAATATTGTCACTTGACAAATAACTAATGAATTAACGTATATTTTGATGTGTAATTTTCGTATTCGTATATACCTATCGATAAAGTGATAACTCCCAAAATTAATTTGTTGTAAAATAGTTGATTGTGGTTTATTGTCACAAATTACGATGGGCTTGTTGTCACATGCGTGTTTATGAGGGTAAAAAATAAATATGATTTAAATTTGTTACATTTTACTAACTTGTAGTTTACTACATATTTATACATTTGATTTACTTGCAATTGAGTAGTTCTAAATTTGACAAAAATGAAAAAATTCAAAATTGATGTTCATCACAAATTTTTATTTTCTTAATCGCCATAATTATTTTAGAAGTCACTAGTAAAATTGAGAAACTATTACAAACGCACGCAGTTATGCATACGCTTAATATATATGTGTCACAGTCACGAGCTACATTAATCGCTACAGAAGCGAAGTACACCGGTTGTCGTTATCTTCAACTCCGACCACTGACCAGTACGTCAGGGGCGGATCCAGAGTTAGGAAACTGTGGGTCAGGAAATTTCAAGGGGCCACTTATTAAAACCAAATTAGAAATCTATACTTGAGTACTAGGTATATAAAACAAAAAAAAGGTGCTCCGCTGTACAGTAGGTTACAAGTGGGTCACTGTATAATGGATAGTATTAAATTTGAATTCAATGATATAATATCATTGTATAAGAAAAACGATTCTGAGCGGAGACGGTATGTCAGTCTAGGTATAAGGCATATTATTTTCTTATCTATCGTATTAAAAAAAATTTACCTATAATAAATTCCAAATTAATCATATCCCAATATTCATTAGGTACTTATAATGCGTTATACGTCAACAACAAACCCTGATACTATCATAGTCCATACTCCATAGGTATATAATAGTGTACTTTAGAAGTTTCAAGTACCCACGAATAATATTACACAAACACAAAAAACTAACTAAAATAGTTATTCTAGGTTTTTTTTATGTAATTTTATCCAAAGTTGAACTTAAAATGACTATAAAAATAAACTGTGCTTATGTATTTTTTAGATTTTTTGGTAACAGAATTAACTACAATGCTGAAATCATGTTTTAAATTTTCAATCCTTAGATATAAAAGTTGAACATTTTATACATTTTCAACTACAAAATAATTATTCAATTTTAAATTTGATAAATTTTGTCAAAATTCGATCTTTAAATGCTTATAAAAAAAATTGTGCAGCCTATGTATTTTTAATATTTTTCAACTGATATTGTAACAATATATCAGGAGCCTTATATTAAATTTTTACACTTTTTGGCATAACAGATAAAACTTTATTGATATTTATAGAAAAAAAAAACTAAAAAATTGAAAACTGAAAATGTCCGTAAACAGCTCAAAAAGAGTCAAAATATTTTTGCTGTATACCTAACCTGCTGTACATTAGGTTACAACTTACAAGTGGGGGGTCGCTGTAATGGATGGTATTAAATTTGAATTTATAATTATATATAATATCATTGTATAAGAAAAACAATTATTTTCAAAATTGTACATTGCATAGGAAATGCTAATATGAACATTCAGTGAAATTTTCATTTATCTACAGTTATTTGTTTTTGAATTACAACAAAAGAAGGAAATCGCTACATGAGAAATCGAGTGAATATCCAATGTTGTAAAAATTTGAATTTCAAACGCTCATAAAAATTTAATTTAACTTTCCGGTAGAGATTTTTTTATTGATAAAGGTAGACAAACTTAAGAGTAATCTTGTATTACATTTTCAAATCTTAGATTTAAAAAGAAAAACTTTTACGAATTCTTAACTCAAAATAATTTTCTATATTTTGTGATTGATTTTTCCATATTTTGTCAATTTTTGAACTTTAAATGCTTATAAAAGAAAATTGTGAGTAACTATTTTTAATATTTTTCATCTGCCTTTAAACAATATACTAGGAGCCTTATAATACAATTTCAAGCTTTCTAAGCTAACAAATAAAATTTTATTGATATTTTTAGAATAAAAACTAAAAAAAAAATGGAAAATGAAAATGTCCCTAAACAGTTCAAAACAAATCATAATATTTTAAAAATTTTATCGTGTATAGAAAATGCAAATATAAGCAACCAGTGAAAATTGCATGTATTTACGTTCATTTGTTTTAGAGTTACACCAAAAACCAAAATCGATTTTTTGGAAAACAGATTTTGAGTAAAAATTTCCGTTATTCCTTAATTTTTATGTGTTTAATCCCGGCGCTTGTGAAAACTATTGGGAATTTTAAAATTTTACTTCCCGAATGCACCAACTAGATTCACTTTCCAATCGAACAAGATACTGAAGTTGAAAATCGAAGCATTATTTCGATACCTATCGTGTACACAGACACAAAAATAAATCAAAAAAATTAAAAAAAAAAAACACACATTGTAAAATCAATACATTCATCGTTCCACTGAGAATCTAAAATTCATTTATACTATATGTGTGTTTATTTAAGTGTCCAACTACTCAAGATCTGAAAAGAGGCCAATTTGATCAGAAAATATTAACTGTGGGTCAGCTGACCTCCTGAACCCTCCCCTAGATCCGCCATTGCAGTACGTAGAAATAAACAATTTGATTAGATTTTAGAAAAAATCCCATAATATATAATAGATTTATTGATATTTTATGCACAGTGTTGGGAATTATCTAGGTAAAATTATTTCTTTAATTATCATATCTAGATAAAAATAATTATATCATCTAATTATTTCATCTAGATAAATGTAATGGTTATTTGTGGTAATTTATCTAGATAAATAATATAATAATAAGAATATTTTAGAATACTGAAATAGCCAATAATTTACGAGAACCTAGTAGTGATTCCAAATTCCAATATTATTATAGTTAAAAAAAGAAATGTTTACTGAAATATTGTCAGTTTTATTTTGTTATTTTATTTTTGTTCAAGTTGTATTAAAAATTAAAACTGTATATTATTTTAGTTGAGAAATGCCATTAAGGATTTATTAATTAATAAATATTACCTAATTAGTAATTACTAATTACTAATAAATTATATTATTTATAATATAATTTAAAAACAAATTATCTATTTTTGTATCGAGATAAATTTTGAATGAATTATCTGTTATCTTATCCAGATGATTTTTTGGTTATCTTTTCCCAACACTGTTTATGCATTATATTGACAACTATAGTTTATTAAGTCAATATAACTAAATTATATTGATATACATTTCTAAAATATTATTAAAATATCACTAAAATTTAACATGTTTTCGCTGGCCATACAAAATTGCTTCGCGGGCCCCGAGTTGTCCACTACAAATGTAAGCTATCTTTTAATTTAGGTACCCCAGGGTTAACACAACCACGTTATGACGAGACAACCAACCATGAAGTGGGGTATAGGTTGTCACAAAATAACCATAATTTTTTTTTTTCTTAACATAAGTTTTTGATTTTTTTTCAGTATGTTCTCCAGATGACACTTTACATAATGTGACAAACAGAACATAAAAAAAAAAATTTAATAGTGAAAATAGTGAAAACAGTGACAACTAGCCGCGGTTTCCTCTACTCGTATACCTCGGCGAAAGTGTTTCGACCCCTTTTTTCTACAGTATATCCGAGGGTCACTCACTTTTTGTTTGCGTCCAACTTGACGTCCTTGAAAATCATCGTTATGTTGTCCTTGCTGCTCGTCGTCATCTGGTAACATTGTATACCACGTAGACACTGGCGATCCTGTTGCAGGGGCGCGTGCATGACGAACGGTGGTCCGATGGCTGTGACCACCCTGTACACGGCCCGTCTGCCAAGACCGACGGCCGGCACCATTTTCCCGCCGGCCCACACCACCGAGTCCAACTTGACCAACTGTCCGCCGGTGCCGGACGGACCGACGGTGCCGACTTTCTTCCAAGCCCTCGTATAGCCATCTGAAAAAGAGAGGGAGAAAAAAAAGTTAAAAAAAAACCATGCACTTAGTGAAGTACAAATTGTGTATATAGGTATATTATAGGTGTGTATATACAGTAGATGGGCGAAGTACGCGTGGGAGGAGAGAAAAAACTTTTTTCTCCGTCTTTAAACTAATTTATCTGAGGCGGAAAGAGAAAAAAAAATGCAACAAAAGACGTTTAGTGTTTTATATCGTCGACAAAACAAAAAATAAAATAAAGGTGCGCCTCTAAAATAAAAAACCACTTTATATCTGCTAACCGACAATGCATATATATACATATATATATATATATATTTAAGGTCGCGGCGATCTTTACACAAAGTTTTAATTGCGTTCTGGGTCGACCGGAGCTGATATTACTCGTATAGACGTATATATATATATTATACGGTGCAGCTGTATGCGTATATATATTATTATATTATTTTCGGTCCGAGGGAAACCATTTCGCACCTGACCGTCCGCCCCGTGTCCACGTTATACAATACGTGACCGTCAACATTTTAATAAAAAGTTTTGCATCATCTATTCAAAAGCGGTATTCCTCGGGGCACGTGAACCAATATTTTACTCCGAAACGTCCCGGCCTCAGGACGTATTGTACACGGTTTATCGATTCGGACGACTAAATACGGCGCGACGTATTCTGGTGCCGTCGGAGTGAGTATAGACGACTGGCGGCGGCGGCAACGAATTTAGAAAATATTATGTCGTAGTCGTTGTCTCCGTCTCGCCGTAATAATTTTTCCGACCATCTGTTTCTAGGAAAACTAAAACGGATTAGAACACCGGTGGTCTTGCTGCACATTCGCAATATCCTATACACTTTTGTTCCTTTTTCGTTTCATCATCATCAATCACGCACACACACACACACACACCCATACATATACTGTAACACCGTACTATATAGCAACACTGCGATGTAATAACATTTTAAGAACTTTCAAATGCGGGCTAATAAAACTAAAACGATATATTTTATTTCAGTATCATACATTTTGTAATGTCGCAAAAGACCACTTTGATGTGATAATATTGTTATTTAATATTGTATTCTTAAATATTTTGATGTGTCGACGACATTAAACATGTTTTTTTTTTAAACAACATCACTGCTGCAATCTGAAATATACAAAGTGATTTATTAACGCAAAAACAGTTCTATCAACATAATAGACCGTCGACCGTTATGTATAAAGGATATTAATTTTAATTTAGTGTTAAAACAATATGACATTATTATAATATACAAACGAGTGTTGTATCTGCATATTGGGAGGAAATTATCATAATAATAATGTTAGTACAATATTATGATTATGTACCTATTATGTACACTTCGCGCCGGGTGTGATTTTTAATTTATTTTCGAAGACTCGACTCTAATATAATCAAAGGTATCGAGGAAAAATGATTATAATACCGTATAGCTGCGACAGCACCCGTGGTTGTCCAATAAAATTAATCACCAGCGCAGGTGGTTTTTTTTATATAGATACTCGATATTTCAAATCGTGTGTATTGCTGTTCTGGTTTAATGACTCGTTCATCCGGTAAATCATTGGTTTAATGGACTACGAGGGAGGTCAAAATATATATAATATTATATCGGAGACCCAAAATAAACGAATAAAGATGATGACACCGACTGCGTGTTGCGGACGAACGTGCGCGGCGTACCTACGATTTCACCGTCGCACAATATAATAATTTATGACATTAATTCCCACAACTGTTGTGTACGATATCGTAGGACTGACGGTATTTCAAATTTTGATACCAACAGTATTTGGTATTTTGTTAATTCCCTGAAAATAATACCATACGCATTGGTAAATATCAAAAACACCACACCGTGGTAAATACCGAAAGCACCAATACCTCGGTAATCAATATTTTCGATGAATTTAAAAGTGTAACTAAGGAAAATCTTACTTAGGTATATTTAAAAAATTATGCTTATGATTATTTAATTATTATATGATTGTATAAATTGTAAGTTATAAATGTATAATATGGTATTTCAGGTAATTACCGAATCACGGCATACTGGTATTCTAAAATACCAAATATGCAGGATACAGGTGTTTTTTTAAATACCTGATGGAATAATTACCGTTATACCTATTCCGAAAATACTGATATTGTCTAAAGGAATATATAGTTGCAGCAATAATAATATACTCTATTTTATCATATGTTAAAACCAAAACGCATTATTCGTGTACAACATTTATATATAATATATTATACATTATACACCACCATCACAGTGACCCAATTGTAACCTACTGTACAGCAGAGTGACATCCACTTGCCCACCTTTTTTCTTTATTTTAAGTATAATATATAAAAGAGTAATTTTTTTTATATTATATACGTGTAGCGATTTTTTATTCAGTCGTTCAGTTATTCGAATCACTTAAGTGACTATAAATTATAAAAAAGAATTTGAAAGTATCGATTGGAACAAAAGATATTTCATCCGTCAGGTCTTCCTGTTACATCCTGTACATTATATAAATATACTTTTCTTTCTTATCTGCCAATTTTTCACGACCAGCACATTTCCGAAATGATGTGCACATCCGTTTATACGTTTTCCGTCGTAAAAAAAAATAGCAAATACCATATAGGTAGGTACGTGCGCAACCGTATAATATAGTTATAGGGGCATAGTACCGCTGTTACAGACGCCATAATTCTAACCGGTAATACGCGCGGTACACGTCAATTTTTCACTGAATCGGAAACCGTGGTCCATAATATATCGTAACCACTGCTCTGACCATCGACCTTAAATTGTAGCATGCACGTCAACGAGAATATTATGTTTTAGACGCGTATTTCTATATTAAACTTTGCCCTTGTCGTCCTATATGTATATACACACTGTATACTCGTCCTATCTCCGACCACGTTATGTAATGTGCAAATTTTTTTTTCACAAATATCGCAATAAATAAACGTGTTCGGGGGGATCCCGTCGCCTCGCACTCCCTCTGCTCGCATGTCTGCGGTTACTTTATCTAATAGTGTTTTGGGTTTAACGACATAAACGTGGTAATAAAATTTTGTTCGGATTCTATATAATATTATGAGATACACGTAACTACAAGAGTTTTATTTATTATTTTCCACACCTAAAATTGAATATACGATTTATGTACGTATTGATTTTTTTCATATTAACTATACTGTAGTAATCTCAATGAACCGTACATTTTTCGGTAGACTAGAAAGTTTTTGTCAAGTATATTATATTATAATAGTTTCAAAGACTTTTGAGGTTCATCCGCCAAACAACAATTAAGTCAACTAAAATATTTGCATTACTTACATTGTTTTACTCTCTTCATACTTCAAATCATTTGAATCATTAATTGCGGGATTTCGCATGAAAATACAGGATTTAATTTGTTAACGAGTCCTTTCGGTTTTTAGTTTAACATTTATAACTCATTCTACAATATACAAAGGCTTGATTAAAAAAAAAGTATGGATTTTTTCAAGAATATATTTTTAGAATGCAAAATAATTTTAATATTTTTTTAAAATATAAAAGATAATGCATAAGTTGTTTGTGTACACTAAACACTTATAAAAACTGAATAATGTACACACGAATATTCTTTTAAATTAAAAACAACATAATATAGTCAATTTCCTCTCTAGACACATACATTGAATATATAATATCAACAGCATCGGCAATCTATAATAGTATACGGACTATACGCTGTCAATAAAAAACATTTCTAAATTAGAGTATAACCATTTATAAATGGTGACATTTTTTTAACTTACAACAATTTTTATCATAATTATTTACTGATGTCTTATCAAATAATATATACACTTATCATTTATTATAATAAAATTCGTATAAAACACTAACACGCAAAACTCGCGTCTCAGACATTGCTGACCAAACCAAACTCCAAACGAATGATTTAAGCTTTTTAAAAACGAAATTACTGTAAGATTGAGAAAGTATTGTTTACAGAGTTATTGAAAAAAAAAAACATCGGTCGTCCGAACAAAAGAGTATATATTATTGTATCGTTTCTATTGAAATCCCACTCATCCGGTGCGCAAGACCGAGATTTCACCACAAATACTGTTGCAGTATGACAATATTTTTTCCCAAACAATATATATATAGAGTTGAGTTTTTTTTTTTTTAAAAACTAGGTACCTATATTGTTTCGATTCGTATTGTTCTTAGTTTTGTTATTGTTATCATTATTTTATGCGCACGAGTATCGCGTATGTGCATGTGTGTGTGTTGGGGGTTTGTACAAGTGATATGGAACGCGTATACAATGATTAACGGGTGGCACACACACGGCGGAAGCAAATTGTTTCGTACACGGTCACGCCCATATAAAAAGTATAATATATTATATGTTCAACGCGTGAAATGCAACTGAAATTTTTATGTTTATAATATATTATTTTAGACTTAAACTCGCGTTCTGCATTCAAGAAGACTCCCTCGCCGGGACGTTTACTGACAGTGTAGTACGTATATGTAAGTATATGTGAAGAGCGCACACGTCACGCGTCATCGATTTACAATAAATGTTTTGCCGAAAACGCTGCGATAAAACATCTAAAAGCCCGTCAAATATCAAGTTACTTGATCTAATTTAAAGTTTACGAAAAAAAGTTGTGCAATCGGGGATGTGTTTTTTTATTTTCGTGCATACGAGCTGTATTACTTTTTTTAATTCAAAAAATATAAAAAAAAATGTGAATAAATATAATACCTAATAATAATAATAATACTTGTATATTATATTTATGGGAAGCGAGAATAATAAATTGAAACAACACACACACCAAACATTTTTTTTTTTTATTGAATTGGGTCAGTTGTGAAATTGAATAGGTGGTGGTCGGGTGTATTAAAAAAAAAAACAACCCCAAACCTATACATCACACGACATACGAGTACAAATGGATACAATGTTAATATTGAAACACTATATCCAGCAGAAGTACTGTATAGCGTTCGGTCGACTTCGTTTCAACCGAAGGAAATCGTTGAATCGCACTTCATATTGTGCCCGTGCATATTATAATACGAATGTACGTTGTCAGCGTATTATAACCCCTTGACGCTATTTCAGAAAACGAGTCATTTAAGGGTGTCGAAGTCGGCCAGCTATTTATCAAAGGGTAAAAATGTGGGCAATTTCTAGTGTACACGACTACAGGCCGTACGGAAAGAATAAAATCAAACCATTTCAACCGTCAAAACGACAAAAACGAATTTACATGAAAAGCGATCGCGTCTAGTGGAATAGTCCCAGTTTGATCATTCCGTTTAAATTTGAAAGAGGAGAACTTTATTCAGCCCGTATTGGACTCTGCAGTTTTTCGAATTTACTTTCAATGACGCTAGAAAAATCTTATATAAAAAAACTCAACAATTTGCCACCATTTATAGACGCCTATCTGAAAATCGGAGTTGTGCAATGTCACGTGTATATAAAGTTCAGATAAGCAAAACAAAAAGATCTCCAAAAAATCTGACCATTTTACTCATTTTTACGAGGAGTGAGAGCTTTTCCTGTAAAAACACGTCGGTTCCGACACCCTTTGATGCCATATATCGTACAGTCGATGCTTGTGCAGTTTCAAAAAAAAAAAAAAAACGCACCGAGATTATTTAGACGAATAAATTATAATCTCGCTTTGTGTGAGTTTTCATTCTCTACGATGCATCATTTAGTGTCTTTAAATGATTTAATTAATGATAGGGGGTTAAAGTGAGTAGGTATATTTTATAGCGAAATCCGCAAGGAGTTTAAAAACACAACGAGCTGAAGTGGTATTAGTGTAAATATTTTAGTAATTTTTCCATCCTCTCGAAAGCGTCTATAGCACTTGTGAATGCGAAACGCCGCGTACGGATTAAGGCACTCGTTTTTTTAAATAAAATTTTTAAAACGCGTTTACCGTTTGACGATCAACTAATAAATTAGAGAACACGAGAAACGCTCGAAAACCCGGTTTTCGAGGAGTAAAATGTTAAGCGCCTATCGCATAATGCACGTATAGCTATAATGTATTGCTTACTTGGGTACCGCCGACCCAAGTTAAATATTTTAAGTCTGCAGCTGCAGTGTATAATGTATATAATGGCTGTAAATAAGCTACTTAGATACGCGCGCGCCATATTCCTGCACACTAGAAAATAACAAGGCGATTCGTTTGTAAAGGCTACGCGGAAATTCTGTCTCGCAGCAGTGAGGAAGTTTATTAAACCGCATTAAAGTCGACATAGAGGGCTGTTCGCGTGCAAGCATTGTATAATACACTGTTGCGATTGTGTGTATTGAAAGCGATACACAATGTTATATAATAATAATAATAATGCGTATTATAGAACGCGTGTACACCTACATCATATTGTAATATAACATGCTAGTAATATTATACACGTACTCGTGATGCAGTACCCCTACATGTATCTAATTTCCATCACGTCTTATCATTATTTCAGTTCATTTTTTAATTTACTTATTTTTTGTTTTCTTTTACTCGTAAATCCAACGTGACATTTTAGAACTTAAAACTTTAAGTCCGCATAAATGTTTAACAACGGTGATATAACATGGTTTATCAATAACGATAACGGCTATATAATATTTTATTATACGCAGGCCTACCCGTGAAAATTGATTTGAATAATCTCTGCACTCAAATTAATACGCATCTGTTCACATCACTTTAAAATAGTAATCGTATTATAATATTATACTATTTAAAGCGCACCTAACTATATTAATAAGTTTAGCGATGTGCATTTGGAAAATACATTTTAGGATCGTATTTGGCACGTAATTAATTTGTTAATTCGGCTTTTGTGAAATCATAAGATGCCCTATAACAAAGCGCTTATAAATCTTTGCACGTTCGATTACACACATATAATAGGTATATATAATATTAGGTACATATAATATTATAATATTTATATATTATGAATATGATTTAACCGTGGTATAAAGAAAAACACACACAATAGCTGAGCATTTTTATTAAAACAAAAATATTAACGTAAACCGCACTTTTGACGTGCACGTATACACGTCAACTATACGCCAAACGCAATGCCATTGTTAGAAGTAATAACCTATATATACTTCTAGTTCGTCACTTAAAACTTTTATTAAAACAGGGTCATCCGGTGTCATAAGTGTTTCCGACTAGTTATGTTATTAATTTGCTGAAAGTGTCAAAGTTTGTGAATGGTTTAAAAGTAATTAGGTTATTTTTGAAATTTAAAGGAAACAACGGGGTGCATTGTGTGCGTATGTAACGGGCGTGGAGTAAACAACAACGTTATGTGTTTTTAGTATAATATCAGTTTCATTAAATTAAAACGGGAACACGCCATTGCACTAACGTCATCCGGTGTGAAATGTTGTCACAAAGGAAACGCAAACAAACGACGGAAAAAATCGGACGAACAACAATTGTGAAAAGATGAAAAGGAAATACACATTTTAACCATATAAAGTTCATAAGTATCATAAATCAGAACTAAAACGCTAGCGGGGTCGGGTTCCGGGGCTCGCGGTGGCGTGATCTCTAAAACGGGACCCTTGGATTTCGTCCGAAATAATAATAATAATATATATATTTATCAGGATAATATGCAAAATGCAAAATATGAACACGCTCGTAAAACCACATTTTCGGGCAATAAAGTAAAAGCATATATCACACGGGGCACGGGCGTTTTACGCTTTACTGCGGTGTGGAAAAAAAAAATTACTCACGACGGTGTTATAATAATAATAATATATTATAGTGTTATCAGTTAAACGTATGTACTACGTGAGGACGATTTGAGAGCGATTGTCGATAGACGAGAGAGCGTGAGACGAATTATTGGACTACAGAATTGCAGCGAGAATAGAGTAGAGTGAGTAGAGACGCGAACGACGAAGTTGCACGACCACGGAGGGCGACTACCACGTCGGAGTATAATATAATAATAACGAAGTATTTTTCCGTTTTCGTTTTGTTTTTTCTTTCGACATGACGGTTTTTCGGAAACGTTACCGCGTGTTACTCTGCACAGTTACATTTCATATCGCGTAACGCAATAATATTGTGTGTCGTTTTAAAGTTTCCGCGGCTATGCTATTATCATAAATTTAAATAGGTGTATATATGCTATATATACAGGGTCACTCGCAGATAGAATTCTATAAACACTTATAACACGGCGAACGGTGTCGCAGTCTCAGCCGAGACGACGATATTAAAACTCGAGTTAACGAACCGTGAAATGCGATGCACTACCGAGAAACAGACTACCATATATATATATATATACTATGTGTTGTATACACGGAAAATGCGGTCGGAAAACTCCC